AGGAATGTGGCCTGAAGGTGTCTGATCCCATGTGACTCCAGACATGGGCCCACAAAGTCCCCAAGTACTCCAATTTTCCTTTTACTAAAAATATTCCAAGACTTTTATATTCTTAAAAAGTGGATTTGTAGAGATGTCTGAATTAAGCATGGACAAGGAAATTAAATTTAAATAGCATATATTTCTCACATCTTCCAAGACCATAGGATGAAAAATATTAAGGTATGAGTCTTTTTCATTCAAGGAGAAAACAAAATGCCTTTAATATGCTTCTGGTGTTTCAGACTGAGTGCACTATGTGCACAGTGTACAATTACAGAGCGCCTGACAGTCTGTGTCTAACAAATGCCATATTTACTTCAATTTTCTAACACCATCCTAGGAAGACAAATATTTGAAGGGTTAGAGAGAGGTGGCTACAAACAGTCTTCAAGGGAGAATGTGCATATGCATGGCTTTGTGTGTGCACATTGCAGTAGAGGAAGGGCAAGAAGGACTTAAACATTTAGATGTAGTTATGCCAACTTTCTTCGATTCATGTTTAGCTAGTAGGGAAATACTGATGTGCTCTTGCCATCTGAAGAGCCTGATTCACTGAAGGATGTTTTAGGGAGTGCATCCTGAAATGGGGAGAGAAAAACCCTCAGGAAAAAGAGAAGCAGAGCCTGTAGGGACGCTCCCAGGAGTTCTCCCGTTGGAACAAGATTACTTTTCTCTCAGATGAGTGTAAGAAGTCTTGCTGTTGCCATTTTGACTTGTAATTCTGCAGAGGACCCAGCTGAGCCTGCCACTAACGACTCAAAGAATCTACAGCCTCTGGAGCTTTTTTTACTATACTGCAACAAAAGCCATGTCTTGCCTTTCTTGTAGCATTAACAGAACGCAAAACCTGAACACCGGAGCCTACTGAAGAAGGAGATTTCACACCCACCTATCCTCACACAGCATTTCCTCCCTTTGGAGTCCCACTTTAATTTTCCTGCTGTTGTGAGAGCCTCAGAGTTATGTCTAACTCGTGAGGTGGTGCCTGAAGGAAGCCTGTTAGACTTGCTTTGGCTTTGTGAGTCTGAGAAAACCTAGGCTCTGCCATGCAGAAGTAAGCATTCAGAGAGCAAATACAGCTATCGGTCACAGTGGCAGGCACAAGGAAACATCTGCAAACTGATGCTAGTTGGGAATGCAGCTCACTGTCACCATGCTCGTCTTATTGAATTAGTTCTAGCACAACAAATAGTATTAAATAACTGACTGTTAACATGGCCAGCATTTCCAATTGTCTCTAAGAAATCTGCTTTCTAAAGATTTTCTATGCACTAGTAACATGAAGTAGAATTGCTTTGCTGTCTTAGGTTCGCCTATGGCAATGTTTCTGTCTTGCAAGCCTGTTTGAGATACAGCATCCACTTCTTTTCTCCTAAGGAATTTCTTGATGGATTTTTCACTCCCTTTTTACTTACCCTGTCCTTACAATACTCATGTTGTAGCTCGTTTTCATGTGATAGGGTACTGGTACCTTCTGGAAGGCTAAGTAAGTCTCTTTTCCTAGTGATTCTATGTCATTACTTATATGTTCTATATGTGATAAAGATAAAACACAGGGAGAAATGAACTGAATATCAAATAAAATTTTAAATCAGATTAAGTAAATTTCTGATCTAGTGGTCTTTACAGATTGTCTCATTTAGGGACAGTTTAAGAGTGATGGTATTTATCTCTGGAAAAGAACCATAAATCTCTCATGAGGACACCCTATAGGTGGCATCTATCTGGACTTCTGTAAAGCCTTTGAGTTGATCCCCCACAACATCCTTCTCTAAATTGGAGAGATATGGAATTGATGAGTGGACTGCTCAGTGGGTGAGGAATTGGATGGATGGTCACATCCAGAGGGTAGTGGTCAGCAGCTCCATGTCCAGGTGGAGATTGGTGACAAGTGGTGTTCCTCAGAGGTCTCTTCTGGGACCAGTGCTGTTTAGTATCTTCATCAATGACATTGTGAGATTGAGTGTACCCTCAGCAATTTGCAGATAACGCCAAGCTGAGTGGTGCAATTAATATGCCAGAGGGACAGGATGCCATCCAGAGGGACCTGGACAAGCTTGAGAAGTGGGTATGTGAACCTCATGAGATTCAACAAGGCCCTGCACCTGGGGCAGGGCAATCCCAGTATCAATACAGGCTGCGGGATGAAGGAATTGAGAGCACCTCAGTGGAGAAGGACTTGGTGCTACTGGTGGATGAAAAACTGAATATGAGCCATCAATGTGCTCTCATAGGCCAGAAGGCCAACTGGGATACATCAAAAGTGTGTCCAGCAGATCAAGAGAGATGATTCTGCTGCTCTGCTCTGGTGGGACTGCAGTAACCACTTGGTTACTGTGTTCATCTCTGAAGTTCTCAGCACAATAAAAATCTATTGGAGCAGCTCCAGAGGAGGGCCACAGAAATGGTCAGAGAGCTGGAACACATCTCATATGAGGACAGGCTGAGAGAATTGGGGTTGTTCAGCCTGGAGAAGACAAGGTTCCAGGGTGACCTTGTTGCAGACTTTCAATACTTAAACGGGGCCTCTAAGTAAGATGGGGACAGTCTTTTTAGCAGGGCCTGTTGCAACAGGTTAAGGGTTGATGATTTTAAGCTAAAAGAGGGGAGATTTGAATAGAGAAAAGGAAGAAATTTTTACAATGAGGGTTGGTGATACAGTGGCACAGGTTGCCCAGAGATGTGATCATTGCCCCATCCCTGGGAAAATTCAAGGTTGGGTTGGATGAGGCTCTGAGCAACCTGATCTAGTTGAAAATGTCCCTGCTCACTGCAGGTGAGCTGGTCTAGATAACCCTTAAATGTTCCTTCAAACCCAAATCTTTCTATGATTCTAATATAAAAACAGTACTGCATATTAACAGGTTCTAAACCAATAACAAGATTCTGAACTTTTTCAGTTTAGACGCTTTCTAGTTTCTAAATTAGTCCCCAAACTGAAGAAAAGTGAAGTAGATAATATCATATCTTCTGAATTCAGTAGCGGATGAATATATCAATGAATTTAACATGGTGAAAGCTTCCAAACTGCAAGATAATTAAGTAATGTCAGGAATTAATTTGGCTATGATTAGTTGAAAATCCGTATATGCAGAATTCAAAACTAGTTCAGACTAGTAATGACAAAGGTTCAAAAGTTCTTCCCTGGATGTCAGGTGCAAGGTCAAAGAACTTGGGCATAACGTGCCAAAAAATGTAAGCGTTCTCGGAAATGTGTTTTAAAGTGAGCTTGGCTCAGTCCTATTCTTAGCAGACAAATATTTGCTTAAAACTGCTGCCTTGACATTGATCTGCAGGAAAACCCAAAATTTAAACTCTGGCTTCACCATTACTTCTGCAATAATAACATTAAATAGAACATTCCTATGTTTTCCACATCTTTAATGGACAAGAGAGGTGGAATGCATTAGTCTCAACTGTGAATTGCTGGTCCAACTGCTGCACAGGCTTTTGTACAAAACTGAATGTTTCAGTACTTACAATCAAACTCCAAGAAGCTTTGCCTGGGCATTTTTATTTAAAAAAAAAAAAAAAAGCTCAATGTCAAAAGCTCCATTTCAAACTTCAAACTGTGTGGAGAATCAGTCTTAAAACAAAACCTTTTTAAGAGGTGAACCTTGCTGCTCTCCAGATCTTTTCTTTCCTTTGAGTGCCTGTCAATATGTTTCCTCTCCTACCTTTGTTTCCTTTACATCCCCAAAGGTATAAAACTTTCTAGATTGTTTTCAAGCATTCCTCTTACATACTGTTTGAGGAAAAAATAAAATCTGTGTCTTTTTTTTCTTCCATCCTATCTTTTTTAAAAGATGTTATCAAACCTAAAACGTGCCAATGGAAGCAATTTGTTTCTTGTGGTTATAATACTGTTTACAAAAAGTACTCTTTGAAATTGAGGTTTAGGGAAAGGCATTTGTTTCAGGATTATATGAAATACTAATAGGACAAAATGAAACTTATCTGACACTGAAATCCTTATTTTTTAATTTATTTTTAAATAAGCATTATTCTTTCCAGTTTGCATGTTTTGATGCAAAGGCTACCTAGGATAACAAAATAAATTTAATTTTCTCCATTAGCTACCAAATATCTTACAGTAGAAATGACCTGCATATTTGTGAGGCATTATGCTTTTAACATATAGTTACTGAAAAATAAGTCGTTTTTTTAAATGATAATGTTTTTTACCATACTTTTCTTGAATAAAAAAAATTAGAGATGGGGAATTCCCTGTTGGTGATGATTTTTTTTTTTTACATAGTTTTTCCCGTGTAAAATTTCTCTCATGTAATTTTATTAATTTTTTTTTTTTTTTTTTAGGCTTTACACCCCCTGGGATGGATAGGTCATCTCCAGACAACAGTCCAGTCCATGGCCTGTTACGTCAACCCTCCATTACAACAGGAGCCAACATCCCTATTATAACAGAGCTAGGTAAGGAAAGCTAACATTTATCCTTTCATGTGCATTTTCATATCTTTTTCCCACTTCCCTTGTTATCCAGCCTCAGGAAAATTACCTATACTGTAACTTACACTGTCTTTTATTCTGATAACTGTTTTGAATTACTTTCTGTAAAGAAAGATTAGTGACCATTGTTTCACTTTATTTGAATCACTGAAATATATTACTCTCTTTCCTTCGGGTTTTCTCCATTTTCTTAAACAATCTATCAGACAAGATGTTTTTTTACACAGTGTAACAAATAAGCAGGGGTCTTTGGGCTAAGATTAGAAAAAAAACCACAGTAAGTATGAACAGACATTTCCTGTGCATTTAGTCAATAGCAAGAGGCCATTTGTTTATTTCTTCATGGTCCAGAACTGTTTAATTATGTGTAACCAAACTCTATATAACAGTATGAGACATTTTACTCCTGAGAATATGATGATGGTAGGTAACCAGGCTTTGATTTCCACTCTAGCTGTGGGTATTTATGTTGTCAAGTGGTGTCATGTGAAGTGCAGAAGCTGTTCTGCTTTTTCATGGCAAATACGAACTTGATTTGTGGTCCTTTGTCCTTTTATTTTCTTTTTCAGTTTTTTTTTTTTTTTTTTAGAGCCTTACCTGTCTTTTTCCCTTACTTTATTATCTTTCTGTACTTTCTTTTCCCCCTAAATACTTTACTTATTAGCTAAGCCTGGCAAACTTCTGCCTTTGGTTTCAATCAGTCAGGAAAAAAACAGTGGAACCCACATTCTAATGATAACTGAACTGGGTAAGAAGTGCCTTTTTCCTTCAAATCACTGTCTTATTTTCTGTTGTAGTTGTTCTTACTGTCATCAGCTTTTCCTTTATTTATCTGGCTGTAGCAGAGGGGCTACCCTCATGGCACTGCTTTGAATGTGTTTTATTTGTGGTTCTGGTTGAAACTGACTGTCTTGTTCTGGCCTTTCTTAATGATTTTTTTTTTTTTTCACGCAGCATTAGTAAACCTTTGATCACACTCGCCTGACCTGCGGCTGTTTTCATAGCACCTTCTCACCAATTCATTTTCTTTGGCCTGGGGCCCCACCTTCCAGGCCCTCCCTCCCCACCCACCCCCAGTTTTTCTCTCCTTGTCTCTCTTTCTCTTTCTTTTTTTGTTATTTCAGCTTATTGTCAATTTGGTGGACATGCCTTAGAAGTTCTCACAGAAAGTTAAAGAAGAAGTAAAAGATTGTAGAAAGACAGCCCAGCAACCAACAAACCAAACCCCAGCATCACACTTCCCCTTAAGCTATTTGTTTGTTATTTGGGGGAGCAGGCCTCTTCCCAGAAGCTCAGATTTTGAAGCTGTAAAAAAAGCAGACAAGCTTCAGCATTGATCCCTCTCAATAAAGACAACTCTTGCCAGCTTTTGTGAGCAGTTTGATGAGCATTTTCTATGGCACAGCACCACACATTTGAGCCCAGTTCACCTAGCCCAGAGACCTTTTGTAACAACCTGAGCATGCTAACCTGCATCAGGCAGATAAAGATATTGAGGATAAAACCACACTTGCAGAATTCACATTAGATTTGTACTACCTTGGAAACTGCACCATACACAGCTAGCAAGCTGGTGTCAAAGCTATGTATTAGTTTGCCACATGTAAGTTGAAAGAAAATGCTACTGTCAATAGTGCCTACTCTGAACTAGCAAATTAAGGCACAAGCTCTTCAAAAAGTAGATTCTGAAATTATACATCAGGCTCTGGAGAATAAACTGATAGCCATTGTACAAATAAAAGTGTATTATGCATATTGATGTTTGCTAGGATGAAATTCTTCTGAGTCCCAAGGCAGAACACGTCTCCTTTTACAAGGCTGAGGTGTTAACATTTTCATGGTTCAAGGAGTGGGAAGGAAGGATTTTAAATCCTACTTCAGCTCAGGTCCTGACTGACTGATCATGGCCAAATACTGGCTCAACAAGGCTCTAAATAGAGGATAACAATTCTCATCTCTTTTAGACAGCTATTGTGAGGCTTTATCTATAGTTGCTCATATGTTGTAAGCTAAGCATGGCAAGCAAAGTAGTATATACAGCTTGGAAAAGGAACAAATGGAAAATGAAACTGCATAGGAAAGGAGATCAGAACAGCAGGCAGAAGAGTTTCTAGCTAAGTTCAGAGCCAAAACCTGATGAAGTATACAGCAGCTCTCATGTTGTTTTCAAGGCTTACTGGGTTGACTCAGGAGATGTGTTCACATTGGGAACTGGGACATGGACAATGTGTGCAGTTTCAAATGCTGAAAAAGTTTCTTTATTTCCTGTCCTTGCATGAGAACTGAAATTTTAATTTGTCATTTAGTAAGTTAAAGAGTATTTCAATGGCATAGCTAAGCAGTCTGTTCTTTCATGCCTGAGGACTAATGTGGAAATAAAATATTTCATGAAATAGGATCCACTTGATACACTGATCTCAATAAAACAACTGGGTTTTTTAGTGGGATGAGGTGGAGGCAGAGAACTTAACTGTGGCAATGAAATGTCAGAGGAAGTCTAAATAACAAATATTACTTTATTTGGGCTTTTTTGTTAAAACAGCCTGATGCAAAACCTTTTTCAGACTAGCTAATATCGAATTTTTAGCTAAGGAAGTGAAGTTATGGAGACAGATACTTGAGCAAAAGGCAGTGCTGCAACAGAATAGCTGGAGTATTGCTCATTCATTCAGATAGATGCATGTTAAAAAGACAGTTTATCCTGTTTTCTGCCATATATGCATTAACACCACTCCAGTGAGAATCAAAGCAGCAGGTCTAACAGATGCCCATGGACTATATCAGAGTTTTACAGACAGCCTTTATTTTACAGTGGGGTTCTGACTTGGTATCTTGTGATAACATTTCATACATGTATACAGCCTTAGTCACTGTACCTGTACAATGCCAAGATTGTCTCAGTATATAAAAAAAGCATCATATATCTCATTTTGAAGTGCAGGCAGCTGATGCCATGAAGCTACTTTTACAGGAAAGTGATAGTCACCTCTCAAGGGCAAGAGAGTCACCTCTTCTGAGCAAAATAACGATCAACAGATTTTTAAATGCACATTTGCACATCCATCTTGATTTTATTTTCAGTGACGTCAAAGACTCAAGTCTGTGTTTCCAGACATATGCTGTTTCTTTTTCTTTCTGAGTGTGTAATGTGTAAGGTCACACGCTGGTTACCCAAAAGCTCTTTATAATTTTATCATTATTGTTATTTTCAGTAAATGATTCAAATGTTCAGTTCTTGGACCAAGATGATGATGATGATCCAGACACAGAATTGTATCTCACACAGCCCTTTGCATGTGGAACCGCATTTGCTGTCAGTGTGCTGGACTCTCTCATGAGCGCAGTAAGCAAAATCTTTTCCCACTTCCTTACATCAGACTTATTGTGAAACAGTATGAAAGCATAGTCCCTTTTCCACAGGTGGTCAGGAAAAGACACTTTTCTCTTAGATGTCAAGAGAATTTCAGAGCCTAAATGAGGTTATTTTTTAGTTGGACACAGAGACCTTAAAACAACTGAAATATCGAGGATTACTATGAGGCCTCAAGTTTAGAAGCAAAGAGTGTCATGTTAGGCTTTAAGGATAATATTTTCCAAAAAATGCTGTTTCTCCCTCCTGAAACCCAGACCCAAATTCAGTGTGTCAGACCCTGTGCTCACCATTCATGTCAGACAGAATCAACCATGTTTTAAGCTCTGAATTTCCTGTAGTCATGAACAATGCTCTGAGCATAAGCACCGGGGGAAACTGATAGAACTATATGAAAGGCATTGTACACATTGTGTATCTTACACTTGTGTGAAGAAAGGTCATCATCTTTTTCACATAAGTTGTCTTGTGAATGAAAACATAAGTGCATACCAGAAACTATGGATGGTAGCCTTTGATTATGTCTACATTAGGGTTTTTAGTTTGAAGCCATAGTACAGTTTAGAAGCAAATGATTTGATCATGCTCATTTTCATCCTCCCTTCATTTGTATTGGTTAGGTTTTCAGACCAGTCTTGCTCTGTGTAAGCTGCATGTCCTTCAGAAGGACCTTAAGCTCTGATAGATGTAGCAAGGATATACTCTTTTTTTAAAATTTGAGCGTAGACTTTCCGAGCTCTCCATGGAATAAAGCTCCACAGTGCTAGGAATGATCAGTTGTAAATTCCACGTAGTATTAGAAATGAGCAAGCAGATTTCCTTAAAAAAGCCAAGTCTGACCACCTAAATTAAGAATGAAACTTTTTGCTTTTAAGAAAAAATCAGAGTGAGCTTTATTATTTAAAATTTTATTTGTATTTCATATTTATCTATCTGTATTTAATATTTTTGTTCCTTTCTGTATTCCTTTTTTTATCCACAGATTAATATTATCTGTCTACAATGGTAAAATTTTATTCTAATGCAGCCTAGGACTTTGCAGTAAACTCAGAAAATACTTTTTTTGAAACTTGCTTTCCATATTTTTGCAAACAAGACAAATTCAGAAAGCCTAAACAAGCACACTTAAATGTTGTACCTTCTCTAATTAAAATCTTTCTGTATAAAATATTTAGCATCTTCACATTATAAATGGGAATAATTTAACGTGAAGGTTTGAAATTGTTATCTTGAGAGCTGTTTATCTACTCACATCATTATCTAAATCAATGTTCCTGAATGAATGGCTCAGTAGGGCACTTCTAGAATCTAGGAAAAAGTAGGATTAATTTTTCAAATTGCTACTGGTATTGCTACAAAAAAAAAGCAAAATGTTGTGGACACCACTGCTTCCTTGTGCAAAGGTAAATTATAGCAACGCAATAAGGATTATGAGGAACATGACAGTTCAGAAATTTTTATTTGGAACTCATCATATAGCCTTGATAATATTTTTAGTTATTGCTAGCTTTTATTAACTTTTAGTTTTTGACAACCTACCCCTCCATTTGTGCAATGCCTTTCTTCAGCAGAGTCTTTTTTTCAAACATTTTCACATCTAAGTGGTCATATTATATAGCAAGGACAGTGCAGCCCGAAGCCAAAGAAGTAGATATGATAACAAGAGTAGAAAATTCTAACTTAGAAAAAATACTAATCAAGAAGACAAGCCAAGGATTCAGTCAGTTAGAATTGTTCACTATCCTGTCTTTTCTTTTAGCCCTTCACATATTGGTGGCAGTGTTATTTTCTCTTTTATTCCTCAAAGGCCTAGTAAAGAGATGGAAAACTACAATTCTCCTTGAGCCTTCAGAAAGTGTAAAGTGTGGAGATGTCTTCCCTTTACTATCCCTACTCTCATAGGAAGGATATATTCTTTCATTTCTTCTCCAAGCAAAAGAGCATTTCTCACTCAAACTAATCTACTTGCACTATAGTACCTTTTTTATTTTTTATTTTTTTTTTTTTATTTAATACGTTTGATTTTAGGTACCTGCTTGTATTTATTCTGCCTAACTTCAAGCCAGTGCCGGCAAACTGAACCCAAAATCCTAGTTAAATTGTGGTATCTGCAGTGATGCTTTTATCCTATTAATTGCACAGGAGTTCCCAAAGAAGGAAATTACACTGTGCTGGCCTATGCCAGCTTACTTTGAGACAAGGACATAGTTCATTATTCCATTAATTCAGTGATTTAGGGTTTTTTATTGCTTAATTTTTATAGAAAAAACTCTGACTTATGTTCCCTGATATCTCTGGAATCAATTCCTTATATGGTCTACAATACAAAGGTACAGTGCAGGTCTGAGATCAGAAAGTAGAGTATTGCCCACACATACAGCTTTTTTCTCAACTGCAGGCAGTCTGAAACATACATACGTATGTATGTATACAGACGTATAAATACAGAAAAGCAGATACAAAATATACTAAAAAATAACTAAACTATTCAGTTATTGAATTATAATAATTAAACAGTATTAATCAGTTTAAAATTATTATTTGCTTTTATATACTTTTATATATTTTTTATATTTATTAGTTTTATATAGTTTTATTAATGTAGAAGTAGTGGACTAAACCCTGCTCATGAATCACAGCTTGTAAAATACATTGTCACTTTCTGATTCAAATCTGAATGCATTTTGCTAGTTTAGTGTTATTTCCTATGAGATGACATATTGGGTATTTTAAATTTGAAATTGTCTATTAAAAAGCTTAATGAAGTTTACTTTTCAAACTGCTGTCTACAGGCTATCCATTCCACAAGCCTGTGGTTCACAGTTTGAAGATCATTGCTCAGAAGCTCAAAAACTACACTGTATTTTTCATGCATTGGTAACAGTGGTCTCTCCAGGCATTGGTTAAAGTGCCTCATTGTACTCTGTGTGGAGCCTGCAACCATGGTTCATCTTTTATGTGTGGCAGTGGCTATTGCTAAATTGCTCCAGCCAATCATTATTATGTCTTTGAAGAAACATCTACTACTGCCATCAGAAACTTGAATGATATATTAATAACTGGTTTGGCATAACATATGTAAACTCAAGGAAATCATATATGTAGTCTGTCAGTCTCAAGGTGGCACTGCTCCTGAAAAGCAAAGCACATTCTCATCACCAGAGTGAATGGGACTAAAAACCATGGGATTGGAAGCACCATTTAAAGAATGTGGATGTTTAGTGAAAAGATTATCTTCAGCTATGAGAACATTACATGACATCAAATAGTTTAGAGAGGCAAATTTTTGAGAAGTACTTTTTCCTTTTCTGGGTCTTGTTCAGATAGTTATTCCAGAAAGATTTTCTGAGGAAGCCAGTTTTATCAACGCATTGTACCTTCAAAGCTTTGAAGAACTGGCCTGAGAGCCAAATCTTCTCTGTTATTCCTTTTGACATGGAAACTGTGAGAACCACAGAAGTTCTGGCAGGTTGGCATCCCTCCCATACATACTGCTGACGACAGACTTGGTATACAATCAGAGTGGTGCCGTTACAGGCAAGGAACTTCAGTACCAGATTATACCCTTTCACATTCGATATCTTAGAGTTTATTTGCTTGTCCTGGATCTTTAAGTCTTGATTTTTGTTCTGTAATACTACATTCTACAGTTTACTCATATTAAAAAAAGCATGCAGAATGGCAGACAATAGTTAAACCAGTTAAAAATAATTTTTTTCAGTATATCTTCTACTTAAGAGTTCTCCCTCAGGGATCCTCACAGTCTTGTTGATATAGAAAAGAAACTGTTCTAATCTATGATAGGGACATTTTGTAACACAAGACTATCTTTTGTCCGAGTCTGTTCAGGGGATTAGCAAGCAGTGTTTTTTAACCTGAAGTGTCCCAGACTTCTTTAAAGTTTGGATAGTATTTTGAGAATCAGTAGATTTTCAAACTGTGAAATGCTGTAATTTTCTGGTGCTGATTCTGTCTCAAAGGCCCTTTTGTTATTGGTATAAGTTACTGATGTTATTTCAGTTATTCCTCAGGTTTGGATATGTATTATTCATTCAACAAAATACCTCGAACAGAAAAAGGAAAGCAAGTTAAAATATTTGTCTGAAAGCAATGCTGAAAACTGCGTGCAGCAAAGGGGGACTATTCTTGAAAGAAATCCATGAAAAACCACTAGCAAACAGAAAAAAAAATGGCAAATATGACTTGGAGAATGACAATTTTAGAGTAATTCTAAATGAAAGGCAAAATGCTATTAAAGTTAACGCAATGTTTTTAAAAGATGTGCTAATTTTCCGTTAAATTTTCTGTAAAAGACCAATTAGTTTAAAAGGTTTGACAGTATTAACTGCAAAACATAAGCACTCTGGTAATTATACTTTTTAAAATGATTGAACAAAGGGGAAAGCATCCTCGAAACACGTGAAAGAGCTGCACTAAAATTCCAGATCATGGGCTAGGTGGCACTGCTAGCTCAGGTATCTGTGTCAGAATTTCCTTGCTGTTTACCCCGTTTCAGCGTCTGTGAGGGGTTTCATTTTTTTCTGTGTTTAGACTGCACCTATTTCACATTCTCATTCTGATTATAGCGGTCACACTCATGTCCAGTAGGGGGTTCAGTTAATGGCAGTAGCAAACAAGTATTTCCTCAGTTAGGATTTTATAGTCAACGAAAGGGGTTCACTACCATCACTGGAAAGTGTCTTGTTACTTTAAGTACAGCAGCACTTTTCCAAAGATATTTTGTAGACCATTTTCTTATAAGTACTGGCATATTCAGGCCATGTACCCTCCTACAGAGCAAGTGGAAGAACACTCTCAAATTAATTCCATTGTATTATTATTCCAAAAGAAATGGACATCAGCCAGTTGAGCTCTTTGGTGTTCCCCAGTTCAAGCTACCAAGAAGTAATGGGAGGAATCTCATTTTTGTGATAATCAAAGGCAAGAATAGATGGGGTTTTCCTGAGGAGTGATAAATACATTAGTACAAGAGGAAGCAACCCTATTCAGCAGAAGTTAACAAGTTACAGCTTCCTATTCACCCATCCCTTCTTGGTTGTAGTTAGGCATTTTCTGATTGGTTGCAATGCCAGAACAGTCCATCCTGAAAGCTGGAATCTTTTCACTTATTGATGGCAAAAACTCCAAACCCATCATTTGGCTGCAGTCATCCATCTAGTTAAATGCTGACATCCATATCAGTCATGGAGTGAAACCCAAATTAAGCCATTGTTCCAAGATAAATGTTGCCTCCTTTGCTAATAACTGTCTTAGCTTTTGCCTTAGCATTTGTCTAGCAGTGGGAGGCCTTTCTCCAGTGACAGCATTCTATTCTATCGACAATAGACATGATTCTTTTCTCATTTGCATCAGTTTCATAGTAGAGTATGACTTCCAGAGTTATTCCTGGTTAGCACATGACATAAGTCAGAATTGGGCCCATTATGTCTTAATTGCACTGGGGGATGGAATGGGGACATACACACATACTTTATTTTATTTGTATTAATAAGTTTGTGACGGGTGCCTGACTTGATACGTTATTTTACTACTACTTAAATTTCTCACTTTAATATGAGATCTGTAGTAAAATGAGTGATATGGCTACAGTATAATTTCTTAGGATATCATGCTCTACTGAATTTACAGTGAGCTGTAATTGTGTACTTGCACAGTACAGAATTCAGATGAGCTAAGAGTATATGTGTTTAAATCTTGGATTCTGTCTATAGTTATAATTTGAATTACAGAGTAAAGAGAGAGAAAAAGTTGGAGATCAGTGAAGGCTGGCCTGATGATTCCTCCTAAAGAGTAATAAAATTATCAGTACAATTTTAGACTTTTGTGTGTTTTAGCAATCACTGCAAGTCAGCAGTCTATAAAACCAGGCTATTTTACACAAACCAGCATCCATCAGTCTTAGAGTAGGTGAACACTTCCTACCATAATTGGCCTCATTGTAAACCAGAGTTGAAAAATCTACCAGTATAGATATGCTTTGCTTTTGTTTCATGTTCTTCTGTCTTGATTTATAGATGCAAAACTGAGAATAGTATTTTTGAGTAATACTAAATATCATTACTTAGAGAAGAAAGAGGAATTCAAAATGATGAGTAAAAGAGTAGGGAAGGCATGGACGAAGGTACTGTTGCAGAAAATCATATGGGTTTGTGGAGATATGTGCTTAAAGTACCGTATAAAATATGTCAAAGCACATTTTTACTGAATGGGCTTTTCCAGCTTCTACAGTTGCAGTGCCTCCAAACTCTAGGTGTGGCAGAATTGGCTTTATATCCATGAAACTGGTGTCAGGTAAAATTGCTGCCTAACTGCAGGACTAAAGGAATCGTGCTAAATATTTTAGTTCAGAGTGGTACATAGTACATACTCACAAAGAATAAAAAAAGAGGTTAAACTTAATGCTGATTTAAAAAAAAAAAAAATAAATAAAAATTATTTATTTATTATTCTGAGCACTTAACATGTTGAAGTAGGACAGCACAGTGTGAAGAGTTACCAAAGAGGGCAACTCTGATTTTCACCTCAGGGATGTCAAGAAAGAAGTACTTGAAGAATAAACAATCACACCTTCTTTCTCACCACAGAAATTCTTATTAAGCATCATGTAATCACTCCAGACTCCTGCAAGGGGTCACACTGATTTTTTTTTATGTTAAGAAAGTTTTGAGTATTATACTTGAATTGTTACACAGTGCATCCACATATGTAAGAACTGATTTGAGAGTAGCTGTTGTTTTAGACTAACTAAATCTTCCTGAACCTCTGCTAATGTCAGATAACTCTTACCAGTACACTATGTATTTAAAATATGTAGTGCCTTACCCAGGCTAATTTAAAGTAATCGGAGTTGATGAGATGCGAATATTTGCTTTAGGGCATGTATAACAATAACAATATGTTCCTCTCATTTTGATTTAGTCAACAGGTGAATGGCATATATGCCTATGTAAAGAAGTAGAGAAGCTTGAAGTTATGAAACTTCAGCGTAACAATGAAAAGCATTGCTGTGTAGAATTAATTTTCTCCTGTTTTATCTGTCAGCTCAAGTCAACAATAAAACTGAAGTTTCATTATAGAAAGAATGAATATCAAAGTAACATGGATAGGAAGCCAGTTCTGATGTTTGATCTCAGGATAAAGTATTTCAACTTGTACCTCAGTTTACCCATGTATTGAATACAATTATGTTATAGGGCTAGAGCAATGAATTTCATTGAAAAGTATTATTTTTAAAGAATTATCTTTGGACAACAAGCACTATTTGAGAATTCGGTATTAATTTTTACTTGGTTGGATTGTAGACGTTTGTTCCAAGCCCCAAGTTCAACAAAAGTCACAAATCTAGTAATGGAATCCACAAATGCAGTAATGTCAGTCCTCTGTACTCTACAGTGAGCTCATTTTTTTCTTGTATGTCTGACATGCTTGCAAAGCTTTGGAAAACAGATATTAGGGACATTGTAAGTGAAGGTGTCTCCTTTTTTTGTGCAATGTTTTTTTTTTGCCCAGCACATTACATTGCAGATATTTAATTGAGTATCTCTGAACTATACTGGTATACTTTTAAGTGAACTTGAAAGTCATTCATCTGGCATTAAATTAATATTTAAAATACCCATTGTTTGCCTGACAGACCAGCACTGCTACAGACACTGGCAAAATGTCAGTGTGAAGTAAATCTTCCCTAATAAACCACACTTACCCTATACCCTAGAGTTTTTTAAAAGGACCACCAGGATCCAAAACTCATCATACATTTATCTGGAATGAACTCAAGATGTTTAATTGATACATGCTTATGTCTGAACACTGTCAAGTCTTGTAATAAGATGTTTAGTACAATACATTGGTTAGACTGCTAGAGTCCAGCCACAGTAATAAGTAATGACATTTGCAGCACAAAGGCAGCTCCCCAACGAATTGGTGACAAGAGTAAAAAGGCAATCTAGCCTGTGTAAGCTTTAAATGTGGTCTGAATTTTACAATTACATGTCCTAAAGCCTATTATTAGACATGAAGGCAGCGAGAAGGAAAGCAGTCATTGCATCACTACTAACACCAATTATAGGAAACATAAATCATTCAAATTTTTGTGCTTTAATAAAAATCAGCCTAAATTGGTGTTTAAAAAGATCTAGTATAGGACCCTAATGGGATAGAAGAATATAGAGTAATTGGAGGCTGCTGTCTTTTCACTTTCTATATAAAATTATTTGAAGAGACAGCCAAGAACTTTAAACAGCAGAAACCCAGAAAAGTTGTAATTTGGATGTCTTCAGTTGTGACTTTAATGGTGTTTGCTTAAAGAGCTTTCTTTTATCTTTGCAGACATACTTCAATGACAATATTCTCACACTGATACGGACATTGGTAACAGGAGGAGCCACCCCAGAGCTGGAAGCACTGATTGCTGAGGAAAATGCATTGAGAGGAGGTTACAGCACGCCCCAGACACTTGCAAACAGGGACAGGTGTCGAGTTGCTCAATTGGCTTTGTATGATGGGCCATTTGCAGACCTAGGGGTAAGATCATGAGGGAAACGTAGGACCAAGGCTGCTCTGCAATCTATTTGTTTTCTCTCAGACTGAATTAAAAATCTATCTCAATTAGTGAAAAAATTCTATTAGTTAATTTAATAGCCCTTTTGATTCATTTGACAATTCATAGCACAGGGTGACGGGTCTGCTCTTATCCTTTGTAGGAGGCTATGTGAATTCCCAGACTCCTTGCCTGGATATTTCATATAGAAAATCCTGTGGCACTTCTTAGTTGTCAGCTAAAGAGATGGATGAGCTGAGTTGGATGATATTCTAACAATAATATATTGTAAACATGAGCAGTATCTATACTTTTGTTGGGTTTTGATAAGCTTATTTAGTCTTTCCACGGAACTTCCAATTCTTGCTTAAAATATGCTTATTAGCTTGAAGACAAAGCTGTAAGGTTTAGTTTCTGCTGTTTCTGGATGAACTGAAATCCTTGCAAAATCCTAATTTTCTGGCATTTTGACTCCACCATCGTAAGAATGAAGTAAAAAAACCCACCAAAACCAAACCCAAATAAGCTCTTTAAAATGGTGCATTTGGATAAAAAGTATCTCAAAACATTTTCTGGACCAAATCTTGTAATCTTGATGCAAATTCCAGAGCACTCACATTGCTTTGATGATGATGAAGGATTTGATATTTCTTAAATTAACCTTGTGTTCACCAGCTCTGTTCCAAAAGAACGGAGTAGCCTGCTTCACAGAAATTACAGGGAATCCCAGTTTAAGGATTAAGGGTGACACGAGTACACAGACAGAAGTAAACAGCCTTTCAGTTCATGTAGAAATACATTCATAGCTGAGACTAACAGCTCATCAAAACACTTGGGCATGCAGCATAACATTTTCACAAATAAAACAAGCAGCACCAATCTTTCAAATGCTATTTTGCCAGAGCTTCACTTGTACTACATCAGTAAGGGCAGAATGCATTAATGCTCTCTGTTACTTAAGAATCAATATTTTAGATATGCAAATTATCAAATCCAACCTTTTTTTAGTTAAAGTATTTTATATTATTTATGAAAAGTGGCATTAATATCATTGTTATATTTCAATGGGAGATATTTTATTATCCTTTTAACCTCTAAGAACTCTAATTTCTGTCTTGCTCCCCAATTAATTTGTTTGTCTAGGTGGCAGTATGGCTACTGCATAAAAAGGGCTGGAAATATGAGCAATTTTAATATCATAGTTACGTGGTTAATGTAATTTGTAGAATATGCATTTTTTGGTACCAAACTTTATATTTCCAGCGTAAAGTCATTCATTCTTCTCAAATTACCATCATATCATGGACCAAGGCTCTCTAAAATAATCATCACTTCAAATAATTACATATTTGAAATAAAACTTAGATTAGTCATTTCCTTGGGTAGAAGATTCTCATTTGTGACAAACAAGAGACTGTCTATATGTTGTCCTTTTTGTACAGACTCATAATGAAAATCCTGTTCCCTAGCACTGTGTTAACAGAGAAAACAAAGGAAAAAAAAATCTGCTGTTCTCTCTTTTTTCCTCTTCTTTCGTTCTCCTAGGATGGAGGTTGTTATGGAGATCTATTTTGTAAAGCACTGAAAACATACAATATGCTTTGCTTTGGAATTTATCGATTAAGGGATGCGCATCTAAGTACACCCAGCCAATGCACTAAACGGTGAGTCTAGTCTTTTAGAATAGCTTCACTATTCTTAAATCTTCTCAATGAGGAAGATCCCAGTGCCTGTAACTAATCTGGAAAAAAAAAAGCTTTCTCAATTTTCTACATAAACTTGCCACAAAAGCTAGCTCTTTGAGGACTTCATGATGACTCTTAGCTGAGTTTAAATCATAAGCTGGATATCATAGCATAGGTTTTAAGCTAATTTTAATAAATAATGAAAAAAGTTTCTTTTCAGAATATATCTTTGATTTATGATGATCCACTGCTTGCATACAAGGAAAGGACTTCAGGTTGCTTATATCAATCAGCTGTAAACTACTGGATAATAATTTAGGTTATAGTAGAGTTTATGTAGACTTCTTTTATTTTGGATGCTCAAAAAATATTCCTGCAGGCTTCCCATTGGTACTATCTGTATCTAATCATAAACCCTTCTCTTGTTAGGCTGCATTTTTACTCCAGTAGCACCAAGGATGACCTCGATGCTTTAAATACAGCAGACACATTTCCATCTTTCCAATCAGAAGGCCATTTAGCAGCTTACTTGAAATATGTCTTAATTAAGTGCCTACTAGATATATGCATATGGAACCATACAAGAACTATCACAAATCTACCATCTGTTACTCCTTCATTCTCTACAAAAAGCATCATTATTGGGTGAACGTGGCAACAAGAAACCCTGCAGCCCAACAAAGTGTTTTTTTCTATAATGAACTGGACAAAATGGGTGGAAAAAATTGTCTTCAGCTTAGTTTTACACTGTACTTGTTATACTTGGGATTATTTGTTGGATTAATAAGTGAATTCTGTCCTGGAGGCAGCTAAGACAGATTTCTTAAGAGCATTAAACTAATTTGAAAAGAAGAAGTTGTGAGCTTCATGATCAATGTTTGCTCATTTCTTGCTTGGACAGAAAATGCCTATTGCCTTGCTGAAATATGTTTTTTGTGTACGAAGAAATATAGCAGCAGGGTGTATAAACCCTTCCTACTCTGAAAGAGGGTTGAAGATGGTGATTCTTGAAACTGATAGTTTTTATTTTAGGCCTGTAACATATACTTAGCAATGCTGGATTCTTGGATATACAGATTTCTCTTTATAAATGCTCTTTGAGGCTATGAATGTATATGTGGTTAATAAAATTAACCTTACTACTAACTTTTGCTTAACGTCATGTACAGTCACAATCCAAACAATTTGATCTATTGCAGTGTATATATGTAGTAAATATGTATCTAAATAGAAGTGCACCTAAAATCTTCCTCTCCCTGCTTTTCAGACATTTTTAAAAATACTGTTGTTAGTGGATATGTTACTGTTTTTTGTCAATCTGTAAATTTGTTTGCTAGAGTCATTACTCTATAGTGCAGCTAAAGAAAGGAGGGTGATGTGTATGGCATCTTCTCTGAAAAATCATAATGTAAATCACTTGAAGAACATTCTAGTCAGTATGTCTCTGCAACAGAAAACATACAAAAAGTGATAACTGATATCTGAAGGTCTTAAATCATAGTGGGTATTATGTGAGCTAAAATTAGGTACAAACTGAAGGAAACAGAAATGCAAAAATCTGGGTAAATGTTCAAGACATAACTGTAGAAAATTTTTTTAGTACAAATCTAAACCTGCTTTCTTTCTCTTTCTTTTTTGCTTTCTTTCTTTCTTTCTTTCTTCCCAGTTATGTTATCACAAACCCACCATATGAATTCGAGCTTGTGCCGACAGACTTGATCTTCTGTTTGATGCAATTTGACCACAACGCTGGCCAGTCCCGGGCCAGTCTTTCTCATTCCTCCCATTCCTCCTATTCTTCCAGCAAGAAGAGTTCATCAGTTCACTCAATCCCATCAACAGCAAACCGACCGAACCGCACCAAGACCAGGGATTCCCGGGAAAAACAGAAGTATGTGCAGGAAGATAGACTTTGATATGTGTACCTGCTTCCACTGTGTGAAACTTGCATTCACCACCCATTCTCCCCAATTAATGTTTCCAGCAGTAGTGTTCCCTGTTCTCCCATGGAATTCTCCCTTTTTGTACACATATTTTTGCATATGTATGACAGTGTGCATGTGATTGTCATTTTATTTCACCACCATAAAACCCTTAAGCACAACAGCAACAAAGCAGACGGACCAAAAGTTATTTATGATGCTAGGGGAGAGAGAAAAATTCTGAAGTCATAGGCACACTGAAAACATAAATAATTCACTGCAGTTACTCTACGTATCAGAAAACAGATGATATTTAACATGAACACTTGCTCTTGATGTCAGAGTTACACAAAGAAAGTAATTTAGTGCAGAAGTGTTGATGTACAGTGCTGTAGGTTTCTTTTATATTCATATTTACAAGAGTTGCTACATGTATTTGAAGCTTATAAAAGTAACACATTTAAGAAAAAAAAAAAATCCCTGCTGATTTTTCACTCTCAAAGCTTATATTGGTATAGAATTTACACTCTTTGTATAGATTATTGCTACATACCTTCTTTATACCAAAGTAATATCAGGGACTTTTCTGCTTGTTTAAAGACTTTATCTAAAATACTAGCCTTTTGGAAATAGCATCTTTTCCCTTTTAACACTGAAATTGTCTGGGTGTGGAGTTGTAAAACTCCAGTGGTTTAATTTAAGTTTAGTAAGAGTCTAATTGCATACTAAATTATTATTCTGTGTATTTATACTGCCACATGAATAGCTATATTTTTCTTTCACTTTTGACATTTAGGATAAAAAGCCATATGTATCATAAATATTGGATGTGAGTCATTAAAAACTGCCTTTCTGGGACTTTTGCGTCTTTAAAAGGTGAATTAGTCGCCTTATGTACAGAATAAATAATGCTGAGAAAAGAGCAAGCATTTTTTCTATGCTTATGTATCAGTTCTCAAGGGATTTAGTTCCTTTCCCCAGATGGTAGTTTAATTTTTCCAAGTTAGAGTGGTGGTATAAAACTCGCAAAGAAAGTCCTAATATGAGAAGATCCTCCAAAAATACTTCTCCATGTTCCATCTGGTTCTTTTCTACATGTGCATGCCAGAACACAGGAATACAGGGGAAGACAACTGAGTGCCTTTAAGGTCTCTCCCATCTGGGAAGAAAAGGTGCTGTGCCCTAGAGAGCTAATGAGAAGAACAAGGAGGCTGGGTAGAAATATTCACTGTGCTGAGGCATCATGTTCTAGGCATTTGCCACAGTCAGGTTCTTGCAGATTCTCACCAAAAACACACATAGCCAAACAAAAATTGTGGCATGGAATTAAATTATATAGTGATAAGGAACCAGTCCTAGAAAGCCATAGAAATGATAGTTCAAGTTTGGGTTTTTTTTTTTTTTTTTTCTATTTCATATGACAACTTTTTGAAAGCTAGAATTAGTTCTAGGTCTTATGAAGTTTCCCAGGTGAGGGAGTACAGAAACACATACCACCTTCCCTGGCTACCCAGCAAGAAAGCATGCAGACAGAAAATAAATATTTGGATGTGGGAGTGTAAGCATTTTAACTGCCAACCCAAAAAAGGTGCTTTATGGTTAGTGTTGTTTTCTACCTTTCCCTTTCCCAAGCATGATAATTTTGAAGATTTGCTTGCTGTGTGAATTGACAATGAAGCCAAGCACTTTTACTGACAAAACCTCAAACCATATATGTGGGCTACAGAGAGTACCACTGTGCAGTGTTGTTATGCATAATGATTGGAATATATGTGTATGTGTGCATTCAACTGCAGCTGTAAGTCCTATCAGTGAAATACATTGCAAATTATGGATGATCCCCTACAAATGAATCTATTACAGTTGCTCTTCACTCTTCAGACAAATTTATGTGTTTCTTTTTGCAAAGAAAGTTATCGTTCTGCCCTAAGAATATTTGTTACTAAAAGGATGTGCCAGTTAAAGTGCTCAACAGGAAATATGACAGTTTAAAAGCATTGTAAAACTTACATAGCTTACTTCTTTTTCTAAAGTGCAACAAGGATGAATAGAATGGGCCAAGGTATGACAATTAATGGTTCTGCATGACCTAGCAACTGCTGTGGGTTTCCTTCTATAACTTTGTCCTTGTGAAAACTTGTGAAATTAAAAAAACAAAACAAAACAAAACAAACAGTTACAAACTTTATTCAGTTATTGGTTTGGTTGGTTGGTTGTTTTGTTGGTTTTCTTTTGTGGTTTTTTGTTTTGTTTGTTTTTTGGTTTTTTTTTCCTCCAAACCAGAAGTCAAACTGGCTGCTGCTGCTGCTGCTGTTGCTCAACCCTGTATTATTTTTTTTCCTCTCATCTGCTTGCCTTTCTAATTGCACGTGTCCTTTTGTAAACACCAAGGTTCTTGCTCAGTGAAGATGACTACCCTAGTGCAGACATTAAGTTCTCATTCCTCACTCCAATTCCTTTCCTACCTTCCTTCCCCTTCCTACTCACCTGTCCCCTGTGTATGTTCATGAACATCTTTTTATGTTGGAAATATGTTGAAGATAGTCAAGAGCAGTTATGCATTTTGGAAGAATATTAATGGCTTTGACACCAAAATGCTTTTTCCATTAATGTTTTATCTGTTTTCCATTTAGCAGAAGAAGGAAGGGTGTTAATACGAAGCCACTTGTCACATACTACATAATGAGTTTATCCAGAAAAATAGTATTTGTATAACTGTGCAGCTCAGATAGTAAAAATATAAACAGCATACATTAGAGAAGCAACTTGTCTATTTCCTGAGCAAAAAAAAAGGAATATCTAATATGGATGCAAATCTGAAGTCTTCAAATCATACTGAAGTGTAATTTTCCTCTGTCTTCTGTCCTAAAGTTGGAAGTCTTAAAGCTTTGATTTTTAGTTACACTGTGTGCAATTTTTACTGCTAACTAAAGTCAAATTGATCAAATAGTGATTGAAGTGATCAAACAATGATGAAGACTTTCTGATATGGATATACTGATGAAATTGGAATGTTGGGCATTGCAAGTAGAGGAATGCGTGAATCAACTATGTTACATTGTCAAAATTTTTTATATTGAAATGTAACAGGAAATCTATTTTTTCAGAGGCCTATCCAAAGTCAAATATTCTTAGTAACTACCCTTATTAGGTTTTGAAGTGGAAAACCATCACCAGTGTCAAGAGATAATATTTTAGAGCTTTAAATGGAGGTCCTGCCACTTTTATCTGTCCCAGCAAGTTTTGACATGGAAATTACGTTCTTAGTAACTTTGTTGATCTGAACATTGACACAAAATCATTTCTAGCAAATTTGCAAGTATTTGGAATGGGTTTCCACTGGCAGTCAGGCATTTTCCAGTGAAATTCCCATTGTCAACAATAAGAATTTTGCTAGTTTAAAAAATAAGAAATCACCAAGAGCAAGTCCAGCGTAGCATTTTTGTCCTTTTGGACTTTTGTCCGAAACTTTAGTTGCTTTGGAGGAAAATAAAGACCTTCAGGGAAAGTCAGAGTAGTTTCTTCTCTCCCTCCTTGCAAATTACTTACTGGCTGTTACATGTGAAAAATAATAATATACCAAACAAAGAATTGCTGAGCAGGTGGGTGGAGAAACTCTCATCACTTTTTTTCTCATATAGAAAGAAATTGCATGGGAGAATTTCAGCTTAGCTGTAAATAATCTGCCTATGTGGAGGCACACAAATACATATGTACAGACTCATTTGAAACTGCAAGCGTCACAAAAGAAAAAAAAAAGATTTAAAACAGTTGTAAAATAACCTGGGACAATGGTGACAATACAGATTGGACAAATCTTTGTGGCATGTTTAGCTGGTACATTCGTTGCCTTTGCTTAGAAGAGAGGGTGTTTCACAGTGACTTTTATTCAAATGTGATTACTCAATCCAGAATTAGTAGCAGAAATTTTAAAGAACCAGCACAATAAATCTGTTGGAGAGAATTGCTAGAGTCTTACACAGTTGAAGAAATCTGTATTTTTATCATTTTACTTTAGTTATTTATATATTTTTATGCTGTAAGGAACAGTCATCTGCAAGACATTAATTTTTATTTATTTGTAATGAAAGCATGAAGCCTTTAGAACCTTCATGAACATATGGGGATGCTGATAGCTCATTGCAAATACAAGTGTTTGAGGGGAAAGTAAATGTTTCTGCTTTCTGATGCATTAAGTTTCTTAGCCATTCCATCATCTCACAGGTTATTCTATCAAAAACAAACCCATCAAATAGTGTAGGAAGATCAGGGTCTCTCTTAACTCTTAAAAAAATAAAATAAAAAACTATGCCTGTTCTCACTATAACATAGAAACACAAATGTTAAGTCTCAGTATTCATATGGTAAAAGGGGAGAACCAGACTGAACATGACAAGGAATTAAAAATAGTTGATGAATATAAAAATATATGAAGTCATAAAAAAGGGTTTTCTGGACTGATTTAAAGGAAAGAAGAAGTAGTTAATTTAAGATACATACAAATCTGTAGTAGGACTTTAGAAGACATATCAAAGTCAGACTGTCAGCATAACAGAAAAGATTGAAACGTGTGTAAGAGATTCTAAAAGAACATTTTGTAATTAGGAGCAGAATATCTTAATGGCCGAGAGTAAAGATGACAAGTGTTGAGCTCACATTTCAAAGGTAAGTATAAAGGTTGATAGACTTCTACAGGAGATTCATCATTATGTGGTCAAAGACAGTTTTAAAAGCAGAAAAGGAACAGGAAAGTTGTAATGGTGGGTTCAAGCATTTGATGCTGGAAATGATAATGCCTGGATCAAGGTCTCAGCACTGGCAAAAAAAAAATTAAGCAAAAGAAATTACAACCTACTAGTTTAGTTTCTGCATTTATTATTTCTTTTCTGTATTTATTACTTGCTGGGAAATGGCAACAAGACACTAGATGTCTTTTTCATCAGCTCCCTGGATATGAGATTTATTGTAAAGATTAACATACATATAAATAAATGTGCTGTCTTGAACATACCAGGGAAAGCAGGGGAAATGGAAGTGCTTTACACTGTCTGCTGAGAAACACAGTGCAGTTCATCCCTGATCCTTAGCACTCATCCAATTCTCTCCTTTCTTGCTAGGAGATTGAATTAAGTTGAAGCAAGTTCTGTTTGTAAGGAAAGTTTGTACACCACATGTTAAAAAAGAAGGTAGAGATAAAAGTTTACAGTGCTTAACTTGCCTCAAAATCATTTTAAACACAAACCATTAGAAAACTGTTAGTTTGAAATTGTTTATGTGATCTTCCAAGGCTTTTAGAACATGATAACATCACACTTTACACTTCTCTGAAAGGTTAGTTTAATCGTAGATCACATAAAATTGGTTTCCACAAATGCATAATGGTTCATGTCTCACACTTGAACTAAATGGGTTTTTAAATGGAGCTGAAATTATTTTGATGTGTACACATTCCCAGATTTTTTTTTTTCTTACAACCTTACTTAAACCAGTCCCCATCAGGAACCATTCCCTTAAAGTCTCATTAATAATTCAGATGTTCTGATGACTTTAAAAGATCTATAGAATTGAGGGCTTTTTTTTTTCTTAACTGCTTGACAACAAGATAAATGAATGTAGAAAGAAGCGGTAGGAATCTGGCAAGCTGTAGATCATCTCTGAACAGATTGTAACTTTATCATTCTGTCAGGAAGAATAATTTAAAGTACTTAATCAGTTAGCTTCAGTGTGCAGAATGTAACATTATGAATTCCTATCGTCCAATCTGTTCAAATCAAAGGGAACTTAATTATAGTAGGTAAGAGAGAGAGATGGGAGATTGAACATTGTTCAGATTCAGGCAACTTTAAGGGGGCAGGGAACTATTTGCCCTGATCACAAATATCACAGATGAGTGGGACGTTTAAAAAAAAAAAAAAGGTAAAATACATTTTAGAAATCGACAAGAAAAACAATACAGTTGTTTTGTTTACCTTCAGTAATAAGCCACTAATTATTAATACAATTCCTTGTTTTTCAATTAGAAGTTTTTAAAGAGCATAGGCACAGGTGAAAAAAATAAGAAAAAAAGATGGATTAAACCCTCATGATTTTGGATTTTGTTGTTGGGGATTGGAGGTTTTGCCATGTAGATGCTTAAAATCAGTATCAAGTATGTGTGTTTAAATTTCATATTCACAAAAGTCACAGAGAAGTCCAGTAATTCTAGAAATCAAATTGGCTTCTTTAGAGGCCTTACCTTTGAAGCTAGTTGTTTATTTTTATGTATTTATGCCCATATATTTGTCCTTTATTCTTCTTGATCTTCCAGCTTCTATTTCTGTTTCACCTCCTGAGCTTTTGTTCTTGATCATTCGGTTTCTGAGATGGATTTTACTCTGCTTGTATTTATTTATTTATTTATTTATTTGAAACTGCACTTCTTTTACTCCTGCCCTGATTCCAACTCGGATAGAGCAGCATTTTTCAGTGATAAGCAAAAGCAGCAGTTTGTATTATGCAGCACTTCCTGCAAGACTCTAAATCTTCTGAAGTATTTTGGGTTCCCCATTGGAATGAGTAGTGCATACATGTAAAAGCAGCAGCTCTGATGTGCCCCAGTTGCAATATCCCATCCCCAGAATCATTTCTGGCCACTGCTTTGCACACCCACCTCAGGAATTTGGGGAAGGAGAGTGAGAATGGAGACCCCTGTTCACAAATGCTTGTCAAAGCACAAGCATCTGATGGCCATAAGCCACTCTAAGACCACAAGCTTCTAAGCCTTGGAGTAGAACTATCTGGTACAGCTGAGTACCTGTAGTTAAGAAATACAACAGTAATTGCTCTCTGAAGGGCTTAAGAAAATTACCTTTCCTTTTTTTTTTTTTTTCTTATTGTGAGTTTTAAGAAGATTTTTGTTTACACCTGTGTATGAACAATGCAATACAGTGCTTACAGTCATAAGCAGCTAGGGAATGGCTGCAATGCTGCAATCTCTCTCAGCATCCTCACTCCCTCCTATATTCCTCTCAGCTCACATTAAATCAGTACCATAAAAATCTTTCTATTTTAATGGAAACAAATACTGCCCAAAGGTGTAAAAGGAACTGCTTCCCCTTTAATCTACCTTTAAGGCCTTGCTTCTTTTGCCTTGCTGTTATGTATCACTACCAGTCCATTCAGAACTAACTTCAGTCATCTGCAGTGTCAGGTATGTTCCATACCCCTTCCCAAACTGGACAGTTCAGCAGTGCCCAAGTAGTCAGGTTGCTGAGTAGCAGTATAATGACCAACCCATGCTGGAGTGTAGCCATCTGGCAGTATGAATGCAAGCCCTGTTTATTCTATCACCAGCTGTGGAAAGTTCTTCTTTACATTCTCCTGCATGATACCAGAGCCAGTGGTAGCAACCACCCCACAGCTGAAATGGTTCAGAGAAGCCTCTGTCTCTTTATGTGCTCCTCTGAATATGGACTCACATGCTTTTCTCTGCGTTACCCTTGTCCCATCTGCTCTTTTTGGCTTCTCAGTCTAGCCTTTTATGTGTATCATTTTTTTCAATAAAGGAATCAGAGGGTGTTCATCTGAGCATGAAAAATAAAGAGCTCTCTTACGTTCAACAAGCAAGCTAGCATATTGACAGTTTTCTTTAGCTTCTACTATTAAATCTGCAAACATGTCATCCTCCTTTCATGAAAAGTATTTTCAGAGGTATTAATCTAATGCACTGTACTGCTAGTAATTAGTCAATGTCACCTTCTATTGATTGCCTTTTCTCTATAAACTTTGCTGACTGCTCTTCCTCCTCTTTTTTTTTTCTTTTTGTATTTATGTGTGTATGTGCTTCACTAATTAAAACTCTCATTTTCCCTCCTTATTCTGTCTCTATCCATTTTGCTCCTTAGCAGAAAAGAAATGGTTTACAGATGAAACGGATAATGCCTATCCCAGAAACATTCAAATCAAGCCCATGAGCACTCACATGGCCAATCAGATCAATCAATATAAATCGACAAGCAGCTTGATACCACCAATCAGAGAAGTTGAAGATGAATGTTGACTCCTTCGAGGCCAGAACTATTTTTTTAAAGCCTGAAAAACTTCATGAATGGTGATGTGACATTTATTCCTCTTACATGCTGAACCACCGATGGAGAAGTTAAGAAGGGCAAGCTTAATGGGAAAATAAAGTAGACAGATATTTGTTTGTCTGCCTTTAATATTGCTTCCATGTATTTTGGAAACTATTTCATTTATAAATGAACATAATCAAAGCTAGTCATGTATAGCCTCTAGCATTTTAAATTATTTTTATTTATTAGAATTTTTTTTTTCATTGTCAAATATTTTCCCTTAAAAAACAAAACAAAGCAACACATAATCTGCATATGTGGCCAGACTCCTAAGAATTAAAAAAAACCAAAACAAAACCCACTGTGTTTGTCCTAAAGGAGAATGATGGTCACAGTTACAAGGACATGTAATTAAGGGAGACAAATTATGTATTTACAAAAAGCAAAAAAGTATAAAAGGTCCAAATTGTATTTTAGTAAATCAAAAAGAGAAAACCAGAAAAACCCCAGTTCACCAAAATGTTTCTTTACTGGAGGATGTGTATCTTGTTCAGCACTGACACCAGCTCTTAATAAACTGAATTTATTTATTTTCAAAGTTGAAAGTCATATTTTTGTACATGTAACATACTTCTGAAATAGTCTGTTTTCTCATCGTATCCAGCTCATCTTAATTGCCAGTTATGTTCAGGCCCAATAACCACACACACAGGGCGCCCCTCCCCGCAAACACACAGGCCTGCCCAGGAAAGCCCAGCATCCTCAATAACCTTCTGTGACATTAACATAGTGAACATCAGTACTCTAAACTGAGAGCCATGTAGGTAAGGTGCTCATAGGTAGCACTTGCTATAAATGGCCAGTCTGACAATTCCACTCCACTTCCCATTAGCCGTTAATTTAATTAGTTGATAATTTCAGAAATACAAGTTTGGCAGTTCCTCTTCTTTTGCCATGTATTACAGTGCTTTAATCCCGAGTGCGTAAAAAGTGCATGAAATCATAAGTTCTAAACCTCCTCATGCAACATTTTATGTTGGTTGCTTACTTAAAAAGTGCTGTTGGCCTTGCATCAATCTTGTTTCCTTGGTTCACATTCTTCCCGGTGTGTAGAGAGGTTTAGCTCCAGATCTTTGCACTTTAGTGATAGCTCATACCTTGGTAAAAGGCACACCGGATCGCCTTTGGGTGAGTTCAGATCAGGATAAAAACTAGTTTAGCCTCAACTCCATAATCTCACAACACGCTGTTCTCAGTTCCTGCACTAGGCAACATCTTATTTTAGCTGTTGCTATTTTTTTTTCTTTGATTGATTTTCCCTTTGCTGGGGCACCACGCATGAAAGTACAGTAATAACCAAATCAAAATAAAAGTAATGAATGTATTTATGATAATTTACAAAAGGCCTTTGATGGGTGCCTTTTGTGTCAGCAGTTTCACAAAGTTGCCAGCAAGCTTTATAGCCATCAGACAAAAAATGTGATGTTTCTTATCTGTGCTGCAGTATCTAACCACCCAAGCATTTGATGTTCTAAATGATTTAGTAACTCTCTCTATCTATCTCAAATTAGCAACATCTGACACTGTTCTGTGATTTAAAAAAAAAAAAATAATAAAGGCTGTGCTAATAAGGATTAAAACGAAAACATAGGACCCAGTCATCAGGAAAAGCAGATTTTCATTGTGCAAGTTATCTTTAGGCTTTGTAATTTTGCAGAATTGTTAAACACCACATTAGCACATCCTGTGGTATTTTTATCACTAGAGAAATACCATTGAATCAGACAAATACAAAGCAGATTAATTTATTGTGAAAACAATTATGTTCACTATATAAACCAACATTTAAGCTAAATTATCTCAGCTTTAATGTTTGTCCACTGGCTGCAGTACAAATATAGCCACACTAACACCTAATAGGCTTTACTCTGGAGTGAATTCTTGGACTGTGACTACTTTGTTGTTACATTTTGTAGAATAGCTATTTAAAGAGAATAACAAGAATTGTTAATACAGTATCTGTAAAATTGGATTGTTTAAAATATTTCACTCTCCTACAAAGTAACAAAACAATTTAAACAATTTTTCATTATAATTTAGGCCATGCTTAACTCATTTCGCAGTCCCCCAAACAGAAGATGATTCTGGTGAGTTCCTCCAGTCTATGCTGCTTCAGCTAGTGACATGTTATAATCTACATCCAGTTTCTGCGTTGGGTCATGTTAAGCCTTTACTTTGAAGTCAGTGCTCCTTTTTCGTTATGAACTGTATTCATAATATAACAAGATAGAAAAAAAAGCTGGTCTTGAGTACAGGAGGATTTTTGAAATTTGTGTTCAACTTCACTAAGTATATGCGATTTTTTTTTTCTATAGAAGACTGGTGTTTACTATAGAGGCAAATAACATTATATCTTATATTTTATCATATACAGTGCTATTTCTGAGTGTTCTTCCTTCAGAAGTGAGGATTCATGGGATAAAACATACTAACAATGAATCAAATAAAACACTCCTACACAGCTAAGGATCCTAAGGTTGCCTAAGTTTTGTTTGTGTCTCTGTCCAGTTTAAATGTCAACCCCCAAAATATCGTGCTGCCAACAACAGCACATAAATAAAGGACAAGATCTGAATAAACTCATGCACTCTCCTAGCACATATAGTGCCATGTGTAACAATAGATAGAACAACACCTGTAGAAAGCAAGACAAACAGGTATCATTATGGTTTTGTGTTTCCCATTTATAGAAAAACTAAGAGCAAACAATAATCATCTTAGACCTTGTTTTGATGATCAAAGATGCAGGTTTGACTTCTGGCAAAGGAACTACAGAGGAACATGTAGAAAAACCTATTGGAGATCTTTGACATCCAGCCATTAAAGACTAAAATAAGACCAGCACCATTATTTGACTAGATGATGTGACATAAAGGCAAGTGGCTGGGGAAGTGGCCTACGTGACGGCTGACAGACCACATGATGACTGACATAGAAATAAGGGTGTGATCTTTATTAATTTCTTACTTCTTTCTCAAAAGACAACAAAAGAGAAAAAGAAAAAATAATTTCCACTTTCTCATTAATAATTGTATGCACAATTAATACAGGCTAAACAATAGCTTGGTGGGGTGTGATTTTTTTTTTTTTTTAGTAACTCATAGTGTGTGTGTATGTATTTGCCTATATACATGTCCACACATATGTATATATGAGAGTATATATGCATTTGTTACAGAGCCAGCACAAGAAGGCGGTCATTATTTGTGGGGTAGCAGGGGTGAAGAAAGACACAAAGAAAACACACAAATGTGTGGCTTACAGGCTAGTACACGGAGGAATTATACCTACTGTTTCTTCCTGGTTTGACCAAAAAACAGCCATTCCTGTTAGTTATGTTAGTGGTGAACTGACAGTACACTGCAGAAACCTGTCTCTGCTGAAAGCAGGACAGTCTTCTGACCTCTCCTCACACCTGTGCACATGTGTGTTCCTGCATTGCCAGAAAGTCTCCTGTCTCTATGTCTTGTGGCTAGGGTTTTTACTTGTCCTCTGAAGCCCATGAACACTAAGATGAAAAGATAAAACCTCAGACAGGGTGTTGTTTGGGTGGCACAGCCAAAATTAAGGTGTAAAGAAAAAAAGATATTTTTCAGAGTCCAAGTGCAATATTTAAGGCCTCAATGTGGCTGTGCTACTGTTGCATCTGAGATGATAAGTATATGCTGCATTTATCAATAGGAAAAAACAAGATACAAACATTTTCTTGTATATTTTAAAAAACTCTCTTAGACTGTCACCTCAATTTTACAGCTCTTCTTTCAGATCAGCATTGACAGAAAACAGTAGGAAGTACAGGTGGTACAAAGTACAAAACCCTTGATCCGGGGTGTGATCAGTGCTAGAGGTTCCTGGACAACATTTGTAGTGCATCTGTAACACAAAAGGGCACTGCAAGCCCTACTAGCCCAAAAGCCAAGAGCGTAGGGACAGAGAAAGCAGGGTGTGGGAGGCACTTGACACATCCAGGTTCTTCAGCAAATTTCAACAAGTGGCTATTTCCAGATCATCTTTGACGGGAAAGCCAGTGCTGCTTTCCCATCCAAAAGGCCATGAGATTTAGAATAATGAGGATCCCGTGTAGCCTTATCCAGCCACAGAGATGTCCTGAAAGAGCTGACAAGTCTTCAGCAGCGTACAGGCTGTTGTAGCAGGTAGAGCTGTACAGGAAGCCCAGTTTAGTCATAGTAAAGATACCATTTCTCTTAATTTTAAAGAAAAAGGCCACCCAATGACTAAGCTGTCATGGATGTGAAACAATTTAATTTGCCTCAGGCAAATGTTTAAAAGGGGAAAAGTAGTTTGCCTGTAATGTACAAGAGGCACTACAGAAGTATTGTCTATAACCTTTTATATATAAACTTTGTCAGAGGGTCGTGGGTGAGGTGATTGTTGGTTTTTTTTGGCAAGTGTAAAAGAGATCTGGGGATTTGCATTTCTTGAACTCTTTATAGAGTAGGAGAAGAGGAAATGATGATAGTGTGTTTTCATTCAGGGAGGACTTGGGGGGGTTCCTACATGTAAACTACATCTAATATCTACTGCAATAATTGAATGCATAAACTAATGCATAAAAAAAAAGCAATAATTTACAAATGGGTAATTATGTATGTTTTCACTGCTTGGTCACTCACCAGCAAATCCATAAACATATTATCAACTGCCTTGTTCTAGCTGACTCACATGGGCTCAAAGTTAAACACAGTGTGGGTACTTAAATGGTTTTATCAAGAAGCAGGTTCATAAGGGCTTCTGGATCCCAATGTGCTTGAAATGAACATATATTGAGGTCAGGGTGTATGTGTGGTATTTTGTTTTTAAAGCTGTTATAATCATGAATTTCCTTAGCACCAAAAGAAGTGTGTGTCTCACCTTTCATTTCTAGGTTTAAATGTGCTTAAACAAAATAACAAAGTGTGTGAAAGGTGATGAACAGGACAAAGTGAAAACAGAAGTCCTTTCCCTGTGTTACAGTGGATTGGCCTGGGAATATCTGTCAAAGACAGTAGCAAATTTGCAGAAAAATTCAAGGGAAAAGAGAGTTTTCTTATATTCCTTTGTTTATTTTTGTCTCCTTGCCATCTGAACCACCAATATCCCCAACATATGAACAAGCAATTTTACTTATTTATTTTTTTAATTCTAAGGTGTTTTGAACAACCACAGGCTTACAGGATATATTTTTTTTTAAAAAAATCATTATATATGCACACAGGTCTAACATTCAGTTAGCAGGTATAATATTTGTAGTGTCTTTGTACTGAGAAATACAAAGGTACCAACCAAATTTGAAATAGTGAAGGACTGGCATATCTTTCAGCTGTGGTCACTGCCTAGGATAGTACATAAGCCTATAATATTGACAATTCTGCCCCAGCATTCATCAAAGCTATATTTATATCAACAATGTATCTATTAACAGATAGTC